GGGCGGTTCTGAGACCCAAGGAGTTGGGTCAGGGAAATCGCAGCTTGTCGGTGAGGCGGTGGGAGATACATAGGGCTCCAGCTAGGGAGGTTTATGTTGACAACAAGGGAGATTTTTTTTGCTTGTAGCTGCAGGACCTAGAGTCAGGATGCGATCCGTGGGAAGTGCCTTTGTTGTTTGCCAGTCTACTCCCTGGAGTGCTGTGGCCTCCCTGCAAAGATAACGGCAAGAGTGCTGTTATAATGTTATTAGTTCTACACCACAGGTGTAGACAAGCAGGGTTCGAATGGCTGTAGAATTTAAAAACTAGTTCTGTTCCCCAAAACCACAGGGCTGTATTCCCACCTGTCCTGGCAAGCCTTCGTTTTGCCTCCTCCCTGGCAGCGGCAGGGATTTCCAGCAGGGCATTGGGGCACAGGTTGCTCCAAACACAAAACTCCAGCTGGTCATGGACTCCACCTCAGTCTCGCACCTCCTCGCAGCGACAGCTTACATCCCCGGCACAGGTAACCTTCAGAACCGTCATGCATTGGATCTGTTAACAGCTGACAAAGAAGGTAAGTGCATGTTTCTTAAAAAAAAAAAGTTGCTACTATATGAATAAGTTGGGAGTAGTTGAGCAAAATGTCAAAGTGCTAAAAACCATGGCCGAAGAGATCAGAAGTCACTGCTGGAGTAACGCGGCAACCACCCCCTGGTTCCCAAACTCCATTATGTCCTACGTCATGCCCCAAATAAGACCCCTAGCAACGATTTGCTTGCTGTTACTTTTAGCCCCCTGTCTTTTTAAGTTTCTTTGAGAACGAATGAGAGACATATCCAATCTAGCTGTTAACCAACTCTTGTTACAGCCTTACAGCCCCCTGCCTGCTGATGCTAGTCCGGGCCATTCCAGCCCATATCCCTCCTCCCTTCGCCCCGTACCAGCAGGAAGTAATCAGATCAGATCTCAACGCTCCTTTTCATCAATAAAAGGCTGGAATGATTGGGCTAAGCTGAGGCAGGCCCTGCATGTCCCCGAAGGTCAGCAGTTACCTTCTGGAATGAGGAAACTGAGAAACAGTGCCAGGGATGCCTGACTCCCCGATAACAGGACACCCTACCTGCCAGAGCTGATAAACTGCATTCTGGGCCATAAACCTTACCGCTGCCCTCCTAGGCCATACACCTCCCTGCTCACATCCTGGGTCAAAACCTTCCCCTGCAGCATGGACCTCCCTCTCCCTGCTTTCCTTTAAAAACCTCAGACCCTGGGCAAAGCCCCGTGACTCCCCTGGGCTACTTGCTAGACTAGACCATGGGGCTTCACAGGGAGCTTCCCCTTATAAAGCTATTTCTGTTTCTGCTCTCCCTTTGTGCTTTCAGTTATCTTTGTGCATCTCCCTGTGCCTCAGTTTACCTCTCACTCGTCCTGTGCCTCAGTTTATCTTTACAAGAGTGAAGCCGATCCTTCCGTGAGTTGAGTGTGACCATAAGCACAGTCCACTTCAATCAGGAAGTGAGTCCCCTTGCCTTGCATTTTGAGGAAGACCCCAATCTGGGGACAAAGCCCCATTTCATAGGGAAATGGTGGCAGAGTGCCAGGCGATTAGTTTATGCCCAAACAGGGCCCTTTCCTTGATCTTAACCTTGGTGCTCTGGTTAGTCTACCAGCACTCCTGTTACAACTTTGATAATTAGTCCTTTGGAGAGCTGCCAAGACTCTAGAGTCTTGTTCGAAGCAATGGTCAGCTCATGAGCTGACCTCTTTCTGCTGGGGCTTGGGTGCTCAGGGCCTGATCTGGTCTTCACAGAAATCAAGTTTGTTAAAGTAGAAGGTCAATGAAAATGAAGAAGGCCTTTGATGAGATGCATTGGTACAGTGTCTGCAACGACGAGCTCAACCGTTGCAAAGATTCTGAGATAGACCGTGTAAAACCAGCCGTGGTTGAGTGGATTCCGGCTCGTGGCAGAGGCGGACTGCCCTCCGTAAGGTTTTCTAGAATGAATGTTTCACACATAGGTCACCACACCTTTCTTTGAGGCACCTCTGCGTGGACTCCAACTGCCAATCTTCTAGTTAGCAGCTGAGGGCATGAACCGTTTGCTCCACCTGGGGAACCTAAATGACAAAAGGGGTGCACACTTTCTGCGGTTTCCTGGGGTCCCCGGATGGCTCCCCCTGGCACCACTGACCTTGTAGAGCGGGGAAAGGATGGAGCCCTTGGTGGAGGCTGGTCGATGGGCTTTGGCGGCACTCCACGTCAGCATGATGGTCTTCACACCAGTAGCTCTGAGCCCTGGGGAGCTAGACGAACATTAGGAACTCACATTCTCGCGTAGGCAGACACAAACACTACATACGCATTGATTTATGAAACAAATGGATACAATGATTTCATAGAGTGATTAAAAGCCTCGAAGAATCAAAACCAGAACAATGGGGGTGGAGAGGGCCAGAGGGTGGGGGCGGGACTCCTTCAGGCCCAGAGATTTCGCAAGTCATTCTCAATTTCCAGGACTCAGCAAAAACCCTGTGTGAAGGCTGGTCTCCAAGCTGAGAATCACCACTGTCAAGAAACGGGAGGGAGTGCCCAGGAACCCACTGACTCAGCAGACGCTTCTCAAAGCTTGACCCTCAGACAGTTTTTTTCTTTTGCAAAATAATGGGCAAAACAATGTGTTAAGAAAGAACATTTATAGCATGAGTGAGTGAGGCATATATCATTGGGAATATAATTTACCTGATTTCTGATGGAAGCACTACATCTCTCATGCAATGAAAATCCATTGTGCGCCCAATTTGAACTTCGGTACATGTCTTTATGGGCATGCTTCATGGTCTGGGGTACCTCGGTTCTTTGCTTCATAGCGCTGAAAGAATTCATGCAGCCGAAGCACTTTCGTAATCCAGGTGAGTTTTAATGAAGGAAAGGGAAAGTTTCAGGTATTACAGTCTCAAAAAGGTGCACACTATTTCTGGAAAGTATGCCAGGCCAAGCACAGAAGCGGCGGGGTTTGCAACTGGGTGTGAGACACGCACAGAAAGAACACCAGAGCAGGAGTATGAAGCTTATGTGTGCCATCCTGGGGAATCCTCCGGGATCCAGAGGGGGAGCTGGTGGCCTGTGTAATTAACCCCTTTGGCTGAGGAGGCGGGGTTGAGGGTATTGGCTAATTCTATCGGCTGAGTTTAAGCCTACCTGTGTGATGTCATAGGTTGGGCCTACTTTGTGTGCCCAGGTGGACCTTCTACCTGGGCCTAATGGTCTTGTGTCTGAGCGTGCTCAGTTTGGATCTTCCCATAGGTGTCTAATTAGTGTGCCTGATTTTTTGTCAACCCCTTTATTTTGTCATGGACAGCTAATTTTCATTTAGTGCAGGCATTATACAACCCCTTTGTCCCTAATGTAGTTAGCTGCCCAATACTTCCAGCTCTGATCTGATAAATAAGATCTGCAAGTAAGAAAAGGCCCTGGTGATGCGATTGGGTAAGGGTTGGACTGCTAGTCTCTATGTCCGTGGTTCAGATCCATCAGCCACTCCGTGGGAGAAAAGTGAGGCTATCTGTTATTCCGCTCCAGAAACACCATAGAGCAGTGGTTCTCCACCTTCCTAATGCTGGGACCCTTTCATACAGTTCCTCATGTTGTGCTGACCCCATATGTGGGCATATCTGCATGTGGGTGGACCCCCCTGGAGATAGAGGAGCGGTGTCTCGGTTCCTAAGACCATGGTCTTAGGCGACCCCTGTGAAAGGATCATTCGGCCCCCAAAGGGGTCGCAACCCCCAGGTTGAGAACCCGTGCTATAGAGGGTCGCTACGATTTGGAATCATCTTGATGGCAGTGGGTTGGTCACTGGTTGAGAAGTAGGGAAGAGACAAGATATGAGAGCGATGGCTATATGACAAGTCTAGAACTTTTTCTGTCACTGGATCCGTTAAGTGTCTAGCACAGTGGTTCTCAACCTTCCTAATGCCATGACCCTTTCACACAGTTCCTCATGTTGTGGTGACTCCCCAACCATAAAATCATTTTCGTTGCTACTTCATCACTGTCATTTTGCTACTGTTGTGAATTGGGCGATCCCTGTGAACGGTCACTGGACTCCCAAAGGGGTCGCGACCCACGGGTTGAGAATCGCTTGTCTAGACCATCATTGTAATTCTCCTTCTGGTGAAGTCACCAGACAGAAAGTTCAGCACTATGTCATTCTTGAGCAGCAGGTAGCAAAGAGTATGCCTATCTCAGCTGGGGGCTTGTGGTATACACTTACAAGTCCCTATGAGGACCGAGAAGGGCTCAGGTAAAGACGCCCTGCCAAGAGGGGAGAGATGTGGTGGTGACTAATAACTCAAGATTAGTGTGGTTGTCACTTGATAGAATTTTGGTCCAGGTAGTTTTCATAAAAACTCTTCATTAACTTAAAACATATAAACATAGAGTAGCATTCAAGTGACTAGTGGTTCATTAATTTAGTATTGAGCTATATATTTACAGGAATAAGGAAGCGCATTTCTGGGAGTTTTGTTAGACCCTATTCTTCAACTATTTCTATAACCGCTCTCTCTCTCTCTCTTCCCCCCTCTCTCTCTCCCTCTCCCTCTCTCTTTCTGTTATAGAGTCCTAGGCTCAGAAAGATTAGTTAACCAAAGTACATAGATCACAAACAGGTACCGTCTTTCTTTCAACATACAATGATTTATTCTAATAATGAGTATTCTTGGAACACAATACAATTATATCATCACCTTTTGGTTTGCTGTACTGTGGTGGCTTGCATGTTGCTGTCATGCTGGATGCTCTGCAGCAGTGTTTTAAACACCAGCAGGCTTATCTATGGTGGACAATTTTCAGGGGACCTTCCAGACTACGCTAGGCTATGAGGAAACACTCGAACCCCGGAAGTGGTCCAAAATTAGCCAGCAAACACCCTACGGATCACAAGAGAACGTTGTCTGAGGTTGGTGTTGGAAGCGGAGTGCCTTAGGTTGGAAATCTCTCGCTACACAGCAGTCCCCGAAGAACTGGATGTCACCCTACTACCATCACTGAACATTCTGAGCACAGATTTTGTAGAAGAATCCAGATCCAAAAAGGGGAGGGGGTGACACAGAACATCATTTCAAATTCTAATAGACTGTCTAGATCCAAGGGGGCTGAATGAAACCCTGGAACCATTGCCTTGAGATAGTCTATACACCTCACACCAAAAATAGCCTCTGATGTCTTCTTAAAGTCAGATCCTAGTTTTGCTTAACTCGTGAAAAAATGTCTGCCTTGAGTCTTAGGCTTTTTAAAAGATCCACCTCAAGGGATCAACGTGGCAAGAGCAACTGAAAGATTAAATAGGAACCGTAGAGGGCAGGGCATTGATGTTCATGGGGAGGGGACACTCAGAAAAGGAGGGTGAGATTGGTTGCCCAAGCCAAAGAATGTAATCAATGTCACTTCATTGCATATGTGACATCAGTTGAATTCATGTATGCTTTTTAAAATTTGCTGTATATTTTATTGTGCATAGTCTCATCAACAACATACAACAAAACTCCTCACTTCTTACCCACCTTGGAAGGAAGATTCCAGGGGAGGGGCAACATTCTGACCAGAGTCAGAGAAAAGGTTTGAACGGAAAGAGTGAGTTTATTGAAGAGGGGACTTAGGAATAGAAAGGCAAAGGGCCAGTTAGCTAAGTCCAAGGGGCTGGTGGAATGTAGAGCTGGGCCTTTTGGTCGGCTAATGGCTGACCTCCACTGTTGGCTAGCTTTCCAGTGGCTCTTCTGCTATTGGCTGGTTCTCCGTAGTTTGCTTCCTCTTTCTAGGTTCGTGCACCGCTGCACCCCAGACTTCAGGCTGTGCCCTTGTCTCCAGACCCACATCCCACGAATCGCTTCAGCTGGCGTGAAGGAATTGTGAACATCCTGTCTTTCTCCGCCCAGCCTTTTCGCGATCTCAGGTTTCTGGCATCAATGAGGAAATGTGTCTTAACTTCACCCTCAACTTCCTTTGTGCTGGAGAGGTAAGAGGGGAAATGTTTTCTTTTCCCCACCGTTGCCCATTTCTAACTGGCTAACAGTGACCCTGACGACGACCCAGGATGAGGCAGGGCAGCATTTCTTCCACACAAGGCCATTGTGAGTCACGGTCAGCACTGCAGCAACTAACTACCTAAAATGACAAAGAGTGGTCCACGCACACTGGAGCCCTCATGGCATACTAGTTACTTATTGGACTGCTAACCACAAGGTCAGCAGTTCAAAGCTACCAGCCACTCCAAGGGAGAAAGACAGGGCTTTATACTCCCACGAAGAGTTACAGTCCTTGTCTCTGTTGGGCTTCCCAATTGTGAAGCACAGAGAGTGGATGCACAGAGATAATAACTGATGCAGGGGTGTGTAGGGGGTGCGGTGAGGGGGGTGAGATGGGGAGGGTGAGGGGATTTGGGGAGTCAACAATGAAGGCAGGAGGAAGTGGATGTACTAGACCTGAATGTGATTACATAACTCATTTCAAAGGTGATTTGATCATGGTGGGAGAGGGGGGAGGGGAGAAAATGTTCTAAAATTGAAAGAAAGAAGCTCTGGTCCAAAGTACCTAACTGGGGCCGTCTGTTGAGTATATTCTCCCCTTGGGAGTCTCTATAAGTAATGTTAAGCACTTTTCCCAATGGCCCATTGCCCCGACTGATTTACCCACCCACAGAAGAGAAATCACCTTCTCTGAGACAAACATACCCCCTCCCACCTGTATGGACTTGAATTTCTGTTAATGTTCATTGAGCATCCTTCTGGAGTGTCTATTGATTTGGGGTAACTGTAGAGCAATGTTATATGGCAGGAACGGATTAATCTTTCCACAACCTGAGAAACTGGCCCGAGCTGAGACGAGGCCTCCTCTACTGAAGTCGTTTTGAAGATGTGGAAATAAGGAGATGTATGGTAGTTACACAATCTTCTGTCAACTTGAGGATATGAAGAGTGAAGGGGGCGGAGACTAGCCTGTCAATCAAGTCACAGCCTGAAGCTTCCTTGTGGGCATGAGGATTCTGGGAACTTCCTCTCTCCCTCCCTGGAGGTGGGACACACACTCTATCTGCCTTCCCTTTCCTGCTGTTGAGACACCCAGAGAACTGGAGGAGCCACGTGGAGATCCACGTCAGCGCTGAGGAGCTTCTACCGCCCCTGGATCCACAAGACTTTTCATCCACCGGCCTGTGATCTTCCTGCACTGGGCATCATTGCATGTGCTGCACGAGTTTAAAGAGGAATTTTTGGACTAGTATTGAACATATGGGCTAATATCGGAATTATAGACTTGATCTGGACTGCGCTGAGATGTTTTCTCAATATACAATTGCTTTTTGATTTAAAGCTCTTTCTTATACATATATGAATGTCAGTGGATTTGTTTCTCTAGTCAACCCGGCCTAACACAAGGTGATACATGGATCCTGAGTATCAGGAAGGCTTACCAACTTATTGCTTGGGAGACTGAATTAGAAGTTTACATGACCAGAGAACATACTCCTGCCTTTGTTGTTATGCTTATAGTACTGTTCTCATACAGTATTGGTCCTTTGGTGATTGACTAACTTTGAACTCAGCATAACAGTTTCCAGGTCCATCCATGTCAAGAGGTGTTTCATGATTTCATCATTGTTTTTTAGGGATTCACAGTATTCTGTTGTGTTTATGTACCAGAGTTTCTTTATCCATTTTTCTACTGATGGGTACTGGGTGGGGCCGCTTCCAGCTTCTTGCTACTGCGAACTGTGCTGTAATGAACATGGTAGGACATAGGTATGTTCATGTTCTATCTCTTACTCATTTAGGCTGTGTACCCAATAGAGGCATTGCTGAGTCATATTGTATTTCTATTCCCAATTGTTTTGGGTAGTGCCATATCTCTTTCCACAATGGTTATACATGTTTTTGGGCCTATCAGCAGTGTACGAGCGTTTAAATCTCTCCACACCCTCCCCATCATTTGATATTTTCTGTTTGTTTTTGTTTTTTTAATCAGTTGTATCTGTTGCATTAAAAAAAAAGAGTTACAGTCTTGGAAACTCACAGGGGCAGTTCTACCGTGTCCTATTGGGTCTCTGTGAGTCCACATCAATTCGATGACAGTGAGATTTGTTTTGGGTGGTTTGGGGGGTGGGGTGCGGGTGGCAGGGGTTTGGGCCTTTGTGCTGGTCTCTATTATGCTCCTGTTGCAAAGAGGAGATTTGAAACTCAAGTACTTCTTGACAGCTGGTGAGCAGTGCAGCTGGGTTCCAAAGCAGATCTGGTGATATCCAGCCTCAGGTTCTTTTATTGTAGGTTCTCCCCTGACACCTGAGACGCATTCCTCTCTGCCCACAGGAAGCCTCTCTGCCCGAGGCTTGGCCACAGAACAAGAACAGAGTTGACTGCCTGCCTACTGGCAGGTCAGGGTGGGCAGGGTGTCTCGCAAACCCAGACCTTGAAAATGTAAATGTCCACAATTAAAAAGAGGTATGTGTGCAGGTGCACTTGTGAGTGGCAGCTCCTGAGTACATTATTCAAGGAAACTAGAGCCTGGGGCATCAGTCTCTAACCAATGACACTGATAGAAGGAAGGTAGTCAGCACCGTCCACTGGTCCCTGGGCTTCTGTGAGAGACAGAATAACAGACAGCCATGACATTTGTGACATCTACAAGCATATACTGATTCTGGATTTTCATTTCTCTCCTAGTCCTGCCATTTCCTGTCCTCATACACCTTCAGCGGGTGGCCAGCTAAGATTATGTTTTCTTGACCGTAAAGTCCAAGCATTGGTGGTGGACAGGAGGCTGAGACCTATGTTTAGATCACAGTTTCTTCGTTTCTTTTACAAATATTATTAGCTAATAGTAGGTAAACTACGGACTGCTCAAAGAACAAACAAACCTGTCTTGGAAGAAGGACAGCCAGAGTGCTCCACAGAGGCACGGATGGTGAGACTTTGTCTCATGTACTTGGACATATTGTCAGGAAAGACCAGCCCCTGGAGGAGGACATCGTGCTGGGTGAAGTAGCAGGGCATTGAAAAAGAGGAAGACCTTTGACAAGTTGGATTGACCTAGTGGCTGCATTGATGGGCTCAAACATAAGAACAATTGTGACCACGGCACAGGACTGGGCAGTGTTGCCCCCTGTTATACACAGGGTCGCAATGGGTGGGAACTGACTCAACGGCACCTTAACTGTAGCAACAATATCAGAGTAAACCACATGCAATGCAAAGGTTATTTATTTATTTATGGCCTACAACTGTGATGACATATAATTATAATAATCATGGGATGCTTCCAACGTTATTGCTGTTATTGTTAGCTGCCATCAGGCCAGTCTTTGGCTCATGGCAATTCTGCTGGAAACACTGCCTGGCCTCGTGGCAACACCATGATTGGCTGCAGATCAGACTGTTTAGCAAACAGGGTTTCCATTGGCTAATTTTGAGAGTAGATGATCCGGTCTGCTTCCTTCTGGGAACATTGATGAAACCTGTGAAGGATCAACAGCCTCAAAGCCTCCGTTGACTGATGGGTGGTCACTGCCTGTGTTAGTCCGGGTAGACTAGGGAAACAAATCCAGGGAGACTCATATGTGCAAAAGAAATAGCTTTATGTACGAGAGCAATTGAATATTGACAGCCCAGTCCAGATCAAGCCCATAAGTCTGATATTAGCCCATATGTCTGATCCCAATCTATAAAGTCCTCTTCAGACTCATGCAACATATGCAATGATGCCAAATGGAGGAAGATCACAGGCCAGTGGGTAGAAAGTCTTGTGGATCCAGTGGCAGTAGAAACTTCTCAGCACTGATGTGGGTCTCCACATGGCTCCTCCAGCTCCAGGGCTCTGGCTGCATCCGCGTAGTTCCATTAGGCTTGTCATCAGTAATGTCTCACAGGGAGTGTCTGTCTGTCCTCCTGAGTGCCTCCAAATGAGGTCATCAAACTGTGACCCGGTTGACAGGCTAACCTCCACCCCTTTCCTCTTAATAGTCTCAGGATGTCAAAGTCTCATGGACTCCAGACTTCCCGGAGCCATAGAGCTTGTATGAACACCTGAAGCTATTGCCCCGAGATAATCTTGAAACTTCACACCAAAAACATCCCCTGAAGGTTTCTTAAAACTAAATCACGATTTACCTTAACTACTTAAAAAAAGTATACCTTAAACATTTTGCTCTTTTACGATTTCTCTGTCTAGGATCAACACAACGAAGCGTCTTCCTAAAGGTTATGGGGAAATTCCATTCGCTTTCAATTCCATTGTCTTTATCATGAACTCTTATCAGTCCATTTCCCATTAATTTTTGAAGCCCTGTCTGACAGATAAATATCTGTGCCATCCAGATAACACAACATTGTAGGAAATTGAAGAGAATTTGGAACACTTATGATCAAGATGAAAGAATACAGTCTTCAATATGCATCACACCATAACATAAAGGAAAGAAAATTCCTCACCACGAGGTCCATAAGCAATAACATCACAATAAATGGAGAAAACGTTACAGTTGTCAAGGATTTCCTTTGACTAGGACCACACTCCAGCCAGCAGAAGTAGCAGTCAGGAAATGAAACTAGGCGTCGCATGGGGCACAAGATCTACTTACAGACTTAAGAGCGAAGATGCCATTGTGAGCAGTAAATAAAGCCTGATGCGAGCCGTGCTACTTTCCATCATTTCATACGCATCAGGAAGACTCAAGAACTGGTGCCTTTGAATTATAGTCTCGGCAAAGAATATCAAATGTATCGTGAACTTCCAGAATAATGAACAATCTGTGTTGGCAAAAGTTCGGCTGGCTCAATTACTATAGGCGTAGACTTTGTTATAAGATTAGAAACGATGGGTCTTCCTGCTTTATTCTTCTCCTTTAATGTTGTTCTAAGTATGTGGCACCACTTGCCATTTCACAGAATCTTCAGGATTTGTTTTTATGGGGATTTTGATCAGGATTGCAACGAATCTTTAGAGCACTTTGGGTAGTCCTGACGTCTTAACAATATTAAGCCTTCCGCTTTGTGAACATCTTCCAATCCCTGGGGATCTTCCCATGTACTGATCGTTGTGTTATTGTTAGGTGCCGTCGAGTCAGTTCCAACCATAGCGACCCTGTGCACAACAGAACAAAACACCGCGTGGTCCTGCACCACCCTCATAATTGCTCCTGTGTCAGAACCCATTGCTGCAGCCACTGTGTCCACCCATCTCACGAAGGCCTCCCTCTCCTGCACCCTCCTCCACTTACTCCGGTCTTCTTTACTCTCCTTCAGTAATGTTTTGTGGTTTTCATCGGATAGCCCTTCACATTCACGGTTAGTGTTTTCCCAGGATATTTTATTCTCTTAGATGCAATTGCAAATGGAATTGTTTCCCTAATTTTGATGAGTTTGCTATCAAGACGATGTTTGTTTCACAGACGGTTTCTTTATTTTTTGGAAGAGTTTAACTATTACTAGTGTCAATTCTTTACTAAATGTTTGGTAGAATTCTGCAGCGAAGCCATCTGGTCCAAGATATCCAAATTTTTTAGTTATTTATTTTTTATTGGCATGTAATTCACATGTCATAGAATAGCTCAGTCATATTAGGAAAAGTTGTGTAATATCACCACAATTAATTTTAGAATATTTGCTTCTTTCTCGTAGTTGTTATTAGCTTCTCAATGCTCCCAACCTCCCCTGCCATGTAATTATTAATCCAGTTACCGACTATAGATTCACTTATGCTGGATTTCATGTACAGAAAAAACAACAACACAGAAATCAAGAAACAAACACAAAAAACCAACAACAATGACAAAATGAAACAGAGAAAAAGCTCAATTGAAATGAAAGAAAATATGAAAAAAATGGAACAAACTGAAAGTGGGTTTAAAAGGGAGATGAAATGATAAGGTG